TCTTCTACTTAAACTTTTTCGTCCTTATATTACTTTTCTCTGATGCCATTTCTTTAGCTTACATGTCTCTCTTTTCTCCAATTCTTTTGTTATCTTCCTTTCCTTATTTTTTTTTGTCTGCTGCTCTTCGTCTATGCCACGCCTTTATAAGTACAACCACACACAGGCACGTACAACCATATATTGTAGAAGGTTGTCCGTATTTCTACAACACACAGGCACGTACGACCACAAACTGTAGAAGGTTGTCCGTATTTCTACAACACACAGGCACGTACGACCACAAATTGTAGATTGTCATTATTCCTACAACACACAGGCACGTACAACCAAATATTGTAGAAGGCTGTCCGTATCCCTACAACACACAGGCACGTACAACCAAATATTGTTGAAGGTTGTCCGTATCCCTACAACATACAGGCACGTACCACATATTGTAGAAGGTCCATATTCTTACAACCACACACAGGCACGTAAAACCACATATTGTACAAGGTTGTCTGTATTCCTAAACATGATTTTATTTCATGGAATCACACTGAAACAATTGCACAAAGGGTAATGAAGCAACGAATAAAGACTTTATATTGATTTATTGGTTGCCATTCTTAGAACATGTAATAAGTATAGTTCATCAACTAAAGCTGGCATATAATGAAGTCTAAATATATTAAAATATATCTTGTTAAGTTCAAAATTAGGTTATGTCTGTAAAATAAGGAGATTAAAATGTTTCAGTTAAATATTCGGGAACTGACATAAAACGTCCATCATATTTTTTTTTTACTATTTTTTATCAGCATTGGAGTTGGACATCTGAACGGTCCAGACTTCCACTTGATGATTTGCTCTCCTCATATTTGTGCAAAAATAGAGATTTCCAAAAGCCTGGCCTCGCTCGCTGCCGTCGGGCGGTCCGGAGAGGCCGGCGACGCGCGCCTCCGCCCGACGCCGCCGCAGGGCCGTCGTGCCTTCCGTCGTGTTCAATTCTCAATTGGTTTTTAGCCCTAAATCACTTAGCAATTAACAATTCTTTCTTTTAAGTAAATAAAATATATAAAATATTATAAAATTGCCTAAGATAGAATAATTAAATAAAACAACAAATTCAACTAGCTAAATCATATCTTCTACACTGCGAACCACAAGTGCCAAGCGGCACGGAGGCCAAACCTGTCTCGGCCTCTGCAAGTACAAGAAAATAAAAAGAAAACGAGAACATTTTACTTCTGGCAAGCAGAAACCGATGCCCATTATTCAATGAAACAAGAGGAAAAGAGTCTTAGTCGTGACCTATAGCTTTATCTTACCACTACGACAGTACCGTTCCTCACCACGCGTTAAATACCTTGCACTCCACATTCAACCTTCGTCCTATGACAACATGAGGCAGAGTCCCTCGGGGAGCTCTCCAGGGGCGTGTTCCGGGTGCCTGCGTGTCCCTGCCGCCGAAGGACGTCGGGGACTTCCCCGGGGGCAGGGAAGGAGCAGCGCAATGCAGGAGCCTCCAGTGCAGAGTCGAGGCAACACTCTGTCAAGCCTAGTTAAAGTCTTGTCTTCATCGCTTGCAGTGAATTCCACCGAGTGTGGCTGGTGTCCTCACTGCAAGCTGCAATTGCAGAGCATTGGCAGTGGAAAGCGGGCGCAAGGGGCACTCTTCCACACTTGAATAACAACAGCTGTGAGCTCGAGGGTTGCACTTCCTTCGACGCCAACCAAAACCCTCCATGGAAAAAACGGGTTAAACCTCACCATTCCACAAATTATCAGCAATGCCCCTACAAGCTTCTTACATTATTATTTCTACTATCAAAAACTATCTGAGTTCCGATGAAACCATAAAAAAGTTATCTTCGTAATTATTGCTGGAGTATGTCTATTGCCTCAGTACGTGGCAAGCTAAACCGGGACTACGAACAAGACACTACTGTACAGCAGACTAACTTCCACTCTGCACTTGGGCTTCCTCGCAACACTTCTATAATATAGCAATTGGAAAATCCTAAAAACGTACAAGACAAAAATGTTTTCTCGTTCAAGAAATATACTTCACAATTGTCGTCCTAGCTACGGCTCGCGGGCGCGGTGGGCGGGCGGGCGGGGGGGCGAAAGCGGTGGCTGGCGTCGCGGGCGCCCTCAGGGTGGCTGGCGCGCGAGGCTCTCGTGTCCGCCCGCCCGCACAGCCGCGCCCCGTCGTGGTCTCCATCACATGGGTCGCGCTAAACTACCGATTATAAATATCAACCACCTCTGCTATCCGTCTGGGTTTTGATTACAATTATTAGAGCAATATAAAAAGGATAAAATATCTCATGATGTGATAAAAATGAAACCTGCCGATCATCAGCATTTTGATAACGATGTTGTCGGCACAGTGACGCCCGCTTGAGGCAGTAGCCGAGGCTCTTCCACACCCAAAATCCACTTCCATGTCTCCCCCAGCCCTTTACGCATCCCTAACATACTCAATCAAAATTCTAGGAACACTTCATCCTTC